GAGGTTAAATTAGTTTTTTAATTTAAATATCCTCTCATTCAACATAAGCAACTTTTAAATTTCCAGGAATTGTTCAATTGAGAGTAACCTTTATTTAATTTCAAAAATTATGTAAGCAAATGAGCCGATGAATATGCATTACAGTGCTTATCGGAATTTTGAAATCATTAAGGTCCTAAAATCTTGTCATGATAGGCAGCGTGTGCTTCATACTATCATGACACATGATTGTGATTTGCAGCGTGTGTTTAACACATGACCATTTTAATAGACCCATAATTAACTCGCAAAATAAACAGTTCTCTTAGGAAATCATCAATTATTTATCTAGATTTAAATTATCCTAAGTAATTTACTTAATTATTAATCTAGATTATAGGAATTATAATAATTGTCATTTACGAGAATAATTTGAAATCAAAATAATTGTCATAACGATCATTAATCATTAAATTCATTATGTATATCTTTCAAAAATTGGAATTAATCTAATTGTGGCCATTAATCCAACCTATCAAATGTAACAACAATTACATTTAAATTTTAAAATATGAATTAATTGCATAATGACTATTAATCTAGTTGTTCAAACATAACAATCATCATGCTCATGTAATTTAACAAGTTATGCAATAATATGGCACCACATATTCTATATGACATGTTATCACATCAAACATGTTATCAATCATATAATTCATCCATTCATAAAATTAAAGCAATTATAAATTAAACGTTAATCCATTGTTCCCTAGAGAATAAAAAATTAAAATTAAAATACAAATTAAGTAAGAAAACTTTTTCAACCTCTCTGTTCCTTCCTTTTGATCCATAGATTCTATTTCAAGCCTCTTTATGGTAACCATGGGCCCAAAGATCCAAAATACCAAACTTTGGCAAGAAACCCCAAGTCAACTTTCAGGAACCCTAGCCGTAACGTCCATTGCGCTGTCACCCAAACTCATCTCAGCACGATACTGTAGGGTTAGGGCCATCATGAAGAGATGAAGCTAGGGCCACCAGAACCATCCTGATTGGACATCAACACGCTCCATCTTCACTGGCTAGTGGCACCCACGCGTAGCAACTTGTGGCGGCGCGTAGAGGCTCCTCTGGCCGGATTTGATCGTCTTCTTGTTCGGTTATTCTTGGATCTTCTTTTCATTATAATTTTGTAATACAACAAAAAAATGTACAAAATTTGAAATAAAAATCAAGGAGAAACCTAAACACATGGGATTAGCCTCCTTGTTACAACAAAAAAATACAAAAAAATTCTCTACCATGGATTACAGCCAAAAACCAAATAAAGCGTCAATTTTTAATGAAAAGAATTATAAGGATACACATGCGAAATACATACCAATAAACATAAAACCCTAGGTGCCATATTTCATTAAGCAAAACTAATTACTTGAAAATCGTAAATCAAAAACTAAATCCACATCCAAAACGCAATCCGGCTCTAATACCAATTGTAGGCGTAATTGGATCTGCGAAAACATTTAGACCGTTGTGGTTTGGGATGTAATAGACCATCACCATTTTAATTTACCTCTTGATGCACAGATCTATGTAGAACCACCTTATGTATGATTCCCTGTCACAAACCGATCTCCTCTGCGTTATGACACGAACTGATCTTTTCTGCGTCACAGCATGATTATACCTCACATGTTTCTACTAAATCTTCCGAACTATCCTCAAGGGGAAGGGTAAGTTTGTGGTCACTTTTTCATATCTGAGTTTACATCTTCTGTTCAATGACCTAGAGGCTGATGACTTAAGTGGTAGTATTTATATGGGTACCAAGAAATCCTAGTCCTAAGCTTTTTTGGACTCTAGACTTCTTGAGCTCTTCTCATACTCTTAGCCCAATTGATCTTTAAGTAAAAGAGTACAAACACAACATTTATTACTAAGCCATTGTCTCTCATGAAGGACACGCTTCGTACATCAAGTGAAAATCGCAAATTAACAAAGGAAGCAGAATAACCATAATATGGAAATATAATCAGCATAACATAATCATAATAATGATAATTGATGGGCTAGGGCTAAATGTAAGGCTAGGTTGCCGCGTAAACATAATAATCCAAAAACTTGTTTAGCCATTGCTTGAAACATTTTGGCCTTATGATGTTTCCTTTAGGCCGTGAGAGAAAGCCCAAGTTAGAACACTTCTTGATTGAGAGAGTTACATAAAATATTGAGAAAATGTAGCAAATTTATTTTCTCATAAAGATAATTTTATGGATTTTTGAGTGCTTTGATCATGATTTTTTCGGTTGGATTTTTCACGTAAATCTTGTTTGTCACTATTATTTTTTATATGTGTTGATTTCTTGATTGATAAAATCAAGATAAAGTTGATTTATATCACTGGTATCTAAAAATTGATCAAAAGGCACACATCTTAAATTCCTAAACGGAATTTGGTCAAAGAATTTTTTGAAAAAAAAAAAGCTTTTTTCAAGGGTTTGGGATGTCAAAGAAATTTTTTTACCTTTACAATTACATTTATGTGTAATTTATTAATTGCTTATTGAAAAATAATATGATTGCATGATTTTTTGACACCAAGAGCATTTCTCCAACTGCCATAGTAGTTGGTCTTCACTATGCTCTTACTTTGACTTTATCTTTCTTCATTCTTTTTTTCCTTTTTAATCTTATTTTTAGGTGCTTTAACAATATTTCCCTTTACATTTATATTCTTTCTTTTCTTTTTTTTGTCAGCTTCCATTTTGACTTTACTTCAGTATAGACAATTCATCAAAATTGCCCACTACTACTTTGACATGTTGTAAACCCACAAAAATTTGTCTCGAGTCCAATTACATGTGTCCTTGTCCAATATTGATTTGAATATAATAGATGAGTTTTGCATTTAAGACAACTCACTTTACTCAAATAAATGATCACATGACGAATAAAATATGAACATATGTAAAATTAATATTGCTGGTGAAGCCTACATGTTCAAATTATAATAGTTTTGAAATTATATTAGACTCACAATTATTGTTACAAGATTAGGGGTGGCAAAGTCGGGTTTGTATCGTGTCAAGTTTGAACACCGGTCAAAATGTCCAATCCAAACACGACACATTTTTATTAGCGGGTCAAAAATTGAAATCCAGACACAACCTGCTGCGATTGCGAGTCACACGGGTTGACCTGCAAAAAATGAAAAAAATATTTTTTAAAAAAATTAAAAATAAAAGGGATTTGATAAGCATATCCTGTGTGAGGAGAAATGATAAACCTATAGGGTCTGTTTGGAGCACCTGATAAAGAAGATATGATAGGATAACTTATTATATCCTACTTATATCTCTTGTTTGGTGGGTCAATAGGATATGATTAGCTTATCCTATTGTTTCATTTTATCCTATCCAATACATGATTTCTTATCCTATAGGGAGAGCTCAGTTATGATTCAATAGGATAGGATACCAATATTGGATACCCAATATATTCCACGCTACCCAATATATTTGTATTTATTGCATTATATTTTATTTTTCTTTCTCCTTTCTCCTTCTACATAATCTTATCATATTGCTAATCAGGTGCTCATCAAACACAGGACATGATATAGGCTTATCAGCCCCATATCATATCATACCATTATCAGTCTCATATCATATCCTACCCTTATCCTATCATGTCCACCAAACGAGCCCATAAGGTTTTTTTAAACGGGTTAGGATAGATAGAACAAGATAGGATAAGCTATCATATCCTTCTCTTAACAATTGTTTGATGAACTAACAGGATATGATAAGCTTATCATGTTGGCTTTTATCCTGTTCGCAGTAAGATAAGCAATCCGAAGAAAAAATTTGAGTTAGGAATGGACATGATAAGATAGAAAATGTCACATCCCCCTAATATCAAATATAGCCATATGTTTTTCTCCTACAAATATTGTGGGCACGTGAGAGTCAACCATTGCCACTGACCAACCGCCACCACTGTCGCTGTCGGCCATCAGCCATCTCCACCACCCACTATCACCACCATCATCCATCTACCAACCAACAACCATTAGCATGAGCTATTAGTCACCACCATTATCACTGGCTACAACCACACCCCACCAATCAACCCCTATAATTGTCACCAATCATGCCGACATTGACCATTTTCACCTACCACCATTGTTGTCATCACCATTGGCAACCGCCACCACCACCAACCAACACCACCTCGGGCTATTACCACCATTAACCACCAAGCACCAACCATCAACGCCGCCATTATCATCAATTAGTCCCCATAATTGCCATCGGTTAGCGTCGCCGCCACGACCACCATCACCATCGTCATCGTCACCACTAACCATCGCTTAGTCAGCCAACCCGATTGCCATAGACTATTACTAATGCCATCACCACCATCGATTGCCACTAGCTCCTACTACTACCACCACCACCACCAATTTAATTGGCCACCCACCGCGCCAATTGTTATCACCTCACTAGCCACTAACCACAAATATTAACAATAATTTAAAACAATTTTTAAAAATTTATTTAGTGAGTATATAATTTTTTATTTTAAATAAATTATTTGATGAGGATATACTTTAAAATAAGAACTAATATGTGAATAAGAAAAAAAAGATAATTTAAATATTAATTTTGAAAAATCATATAAAATTATGTTAAAAAGATAATTTTATCCCTTCATATCATATATTATATGATGAGTCAGGATTAAGTTACATTCTCAATCTTGTCCGTTGATTCCACTTATATCTAAGGGTTCTAATTTTTTAATAATGTGAATCATTAAATACAAGTGAATCAATGATCAAGATTGAGCGTAAGATTTCTAAGTCTTACACCGATATAAGAATCTCTCACCGTGATATGATTCACCTCAAATACGGGAAAATATATGAAGTTATCATGTTCATATTCTATCCCGCTGTTATTGAAGTCTCTTATCTTATTTATTCTTATCCTACAAATTTTTGCGCACTAATAATTTTACCCGATTTAATCATATTAATTGAGTAATTAATTAATCGAAAGAAATTTAAAATATGTATTTTTGTTTAGATGCAATTATTTTTGGCCCTTCTTCATTACAAATACACAATTTGCAAGCAGGTTGTGTTGTATTATGGCGGTGTTCATCTTCCAGAGCTGAACTCAGCTTCTGCACAACACATACAATTCTTCTTTGATTCTAAATTTCTCTCTCTCTGTCTCTCTTGATCTCTATCTCTCTCTCTCTTGATTTCTCTCTCAGTTGCAGCTGCACCATGAAATCTACCAGAGAGAAAGACGACGATCGATGCATCACTTGGCATATGCACACCCTCCATCGCCGTCTTCTTCATGCCTTAGACCTTGGCACCAGGTATCATTTTAATTTGTTATTTGCTCGCTTATTCTTCTCTTTTTCGATGATGGGTTGTTCTTAGAAATTTCTATAAGCTAATCTATCTAAGAAAAAAGAAAAAGAAAAAACAGACAGAGAGGTTGCAGGAAAGAAAAAAAGAAAAGAAAAAAATGTCAATTTCAACACAGAATGAACAATTGTGCGTCATTTTCAGTGTTTTCCGCTTTCACTTCAGGCGTTACACAAAATCAAAGAAAGAAAGAAAAGAAGAGCATCAAGAAGTTAACAGAAGCAGCTATAATAGTAATCAAATGCCACAATCGAATTGAAGGCACCACAGAATGTCCGATAATATATTATTTTTATTTTTATTTTAAAAAAAGAGAGGAAAAAAAGAAACCTAAAAACGGAAAAAGAAAAGAAAGAAAAAGAAGAAGCGTGGGTAGGGACCTGACTTGGAACCGGAACTGAGGGTGGATGCCATGAAGCTTGCCATGTATGGAAGGGCTAAGGAGGATGTTTGGGTGGAGAGTGGGTTCATTGTCAGAGCCATTTCTGTTTCTGTTGCTATTCGATTTGAATTCAATTCGATTCAATAAGGGTTTCTTTGTGTTGGTGTGTTGTGAAGATTAGGGATTTTAATAAGAGAGATTGAATGAGGAAATTTTGTTAACAGAGAAAAGAGGAGATACAGTGTTGTGAGGGTCTGAGGGAAGGGAAGGGAAAAGCCACAAGCACGGACAGCTCCCATATTTCAACCCCAAAAAAGATGCCTCCTCCGCCATTGCAATCTCAGTAAAAACAAAATTCTTCAATTTTTTTTTTTTTTTTGAGGGGGGGCAACCCTAGCTCCCTGCTCCGCCTCTGGTGGTACTCATCAATCATCATTCAAACTTGGTCAAGTTTTGATTTTTTTTTTTGGCTCAAACCGATGGAATTGTATTTGATGAGAGTATGGTATATAGAGTAGTTTAGTGTAATGGACAAAGTCCTATATTATGTATTATTCTTGTGTATTTTTTTTACTCACTTATATAATATTGCTACACATCTAAGGCATTGTGGATTACATTATATGTATTTCGTTTTTCTCTCTCTTAACTTGATATCAAGAGCTTGACAAGAGATAATTCTAAATCCGTGCTTACCCCGGTGGCCCACTGCCTACCAGTGACAAAATTTGTCCGGAAACCATGTCGTCCTCTCTGCTTCTGGCCTCTCAACCTTTGACATCTGTCCTAGATCACTGTTAGCCTCGTCTTCGATGAGTCACCAACGCCATCCACCGACCACCGCGCTAGAGAATTTTTCGGCGACCTTCCGGCCGATCCTCCCACCTTTCGGATTGTCTCCTCGTCTCCTCCTAGCGTCCTTTTTGTCTGAGACCCACCTCCAGTCGCTCTATAATGTGCCCTCACGCGCAATTCAAAGTCGTGGCATCTTTGTTTCTGTGGCGGCGCATGGCTGCTCTGTTTCATATGTGACTTGGACAGTCGCCCTTCTCTCCTGGTAATGGATCTATGGTTTTTGTGTTGATCAGAGCTTATTTCGTGGTATGCACTCTTACTCACATGTGTTTCTCTTTTTTTGGTTTTTGTTTGCTGTCTTTCCGGGTTCCCTATCGTTGACACTCATCCGGCAGCATGTCCCATGATGTTCTGAAGCTTATGGCATCCATTTTCAGTAATTACGTTCATACTTGGAGCATCTTACGTTATGCGTGGACAAGTTGGATGGTTGTAATTATGATTCTTGTGCATCCGATCTTAAACTTTGGCTTGATGGACAATATTACACCGACCATCTTACCACTAGTGCTGAATTTGTCGCCATTCTGAGTGCCCTCGATGGAAGAAGATTGATGCCCAATTATGCAGTTTCATCAAATCTATTGGACCAGACATCTCATTTGCCGTTTGTGTAGTGAGCCAGTTCCTAAATTCTCCTTATGAATATCAATGGAATGTAGTGATTCGTATTCTCAAGTACATCAAATCAGCTCCAGGGAATTGTGTCTTCTATGGAGACAAAACTCATACTAGAATTGTGGGGTACTCATATGCTGATTGGGCAAGTTGTCCCACTGATAGGATATCTACCTCTGGATACTATGTGTTTGTTGGAGATAACTTAGTCTCTTGGGAAAGTAAGAAATAAAGTGTGGTTGCCAAATAGAGCGTTGAAGTAGAGTATCGTTCCATGGCCACAACCACTTATGAACTTATCTGGCCAAAACAATTGCTTAAGGAAATTGAGTTTGGAGACACTAAAACAACAACACTCATCTGCGATAATCAAGTTGTTTTGCATATCGCTTCCAATCCAATGTTTTATGAAAGAACTAAGCATATTGAAATAGATTGTGATCAACTGACGGATTTCTTCACTAAGTCCTTGAGAGGTCCCCAAATACATTACATATATGATAAGCTTGATACATATGATTTATATGCTCTAGCTTGAGGGGGAGTGTTGAGAGTATTGTATATAGAGTAGTTTAGTGTAAGAGACAAGATCCCACATCATATATTATTCTTGTGTATTCCTTTGTACTCTGTTATATAATAATGTCTCCGCTGCGTATCTAAGGCATGCAAATTACATCATATGTCTTTCATTTTCCTCTCTCTTAATAGTATTTTTTGCTTTGTGGGTTGTTCCTATATTTTTCTTTGTGAATTTTGATAGACATTTTGATGAGAAGACAAAAAGATGGAATTGGCAGTGCGCAAACATTGAAGTGCAGAAAAATGTACTGCGATCGATTGATGCATTTCTTGATTCTATATCAGGAAATGCACGTGCAGCACATCATGCTATCTTTAAGGTACATTACTTATTACTCTCTTTGTTTTTGGGTTTAACAGTACTAGCACACGCGAACTTTTTTTAAGTTACAGGGATTTAGTCATTAGTGAAGGAAGGAAGAAAAGAAAGAGAGAATAAATACCGAATAATATGAAATTATTATTAATTTGATGTGTTATGATGTAATATAAACTACGAGGCACTAATTCCTATATATACTAATATTAGACTCCAAATCCTAATTAAATAATGAAATAAATCATGAGATATAAAAAATTAGAAGATTATTCCTAAGATATCATATAAGATAAACTAAACTATTTTAAGATACAATCAAGATATCATGAGGTATTTTTCATATATTCTATAACAAAACTAACCTTGGAGTTTTATGCCAGTTTATTGGACTTCCTAAATGATATATGATTATGTATATTCCTATAGAATGGTTTATTATAGATGAATTGGCCTTCTTGATTGATGTATGATGTTCAATGACACTAAAATATGTACTTGCCTACATCATTTTACTTCTTCAGGAATCTCTTGCTGATGTTTTGGGAGCATTATTATGGATTCTTCAATGCAAAAGTGTTTCCTTGTTAAGCATGTCATCAAATGTGGCAGTGAAGTTAGTTAGTGTTTTCCCAAATCCACTATTGCAATCACATATGTTGGATCTTGTCTGTTGTCTATCATCCTTGCTATCTTCGCATCAAATGGAAGTTGCAATACCCTGCGCTACTGCTCTGAATTTGGTAATCTCAAATTTGAATGCTACAAGTGAGAAGGCAGTTATGAAAGCATTGAAAGAAACAGATATTTCCATTTGTATTGTTGGAAATATAAAAGATTGTGCTGGAGATGTGAAGAAAATTGAATATTTTGAAGAGATGGCTTCCCTTTTGAGCACAATACTGTGGCGGTGGCCTCTGTCTAGGTTCCCTGTTTGTGATGATGTTAAACTTATGAAAGCTTTAGCAAACATGCATACAAGGACAGATAGTGCTATTAGACTTGTACTTTTAAAGTTGTACACATCTTTAGGTATTAAAATATCCCCCCACACTTCCCCTAACAAAAAAAAAGTTTTCGTTGTTATCTTCTATTCTCAAGTATTAGACCAACTAATTTACTGTTTCCGTTACCAGCTTTATGTGACTCTGTAGCAAAAAAACTTATAGCGGATGGAGAAGTATTTCTACAAATGATTGTGCAGGCGATGGGAAAATCAAATCCTGATATTGTTCGGGTTGAGGGATTTAGGCTTGCTCAATGTGTATTGGTAAGGGTTCATTATTCTCTACGATAAACATTGGAATATATATAACATTGTATCTAACAAAGAATACTTTTATCTGCTCAGAGGTCCCAAGAGAATTGTTTAAAAATGGTGGATTTGTGTGGTGAAGCTCTTGTTGATGCCATAATTTGTGGGATGAGAGAAACAAGGCTGAGTTCTAAAAAAATTGGGAACAACCATGGTTCTTTATTAGGGGAAGCATGTCAGTTGGCTCTAATTACTCGTTGGACAGGTGATCATCACACCAGTTTTTGGAAACAAGGAATTGATAAAGTCCTTCTTAATCTTCTGATTGAAAATATTCAAGACCAGTCACCTGAACTTGTCTTGTCATTGGAAAAACAAATATCCATGGTGAAGGAGGGATTAAAAGCCAATTATCATCTTGGTCTGAGGAGTTATCTATGGGACATTCTTGGGGGGCTTTCAATTCATTGTGGAGAAAATTTAAACTCTTGCACCCATGGAAGTGAGCTCCACATCAACTTACTAATTACATGTGCATGGTAAATTATATTCCTTCCATTATCATTTCTTGATGACCTTAACATGTGTGTACACATTGATAATATATCCTATGTCATTGTTTCTTACTACTACTGTTGGTTATATTTCTGTAATTTTATACCTAACATTTACTACACCTTCATTTTGTTGATACTGTCCAAATTTAATAATTCTAATTTCCCCTTTTTCTGTAGCTTGACTTTTGTGGATACAATGCAAAAATGGTGCCGAATATGTCAAAAGGATGTTGATGATAATTTTCAAAGCGAACCAGTATCAAGGGCTGTTCTAATGATGATTTATTCTCCATGTAATTACATTTCCTCACATGCTAGATTCTTATTATCTGATATACTTAAGGTGGAAGGCATTCCATGCTTGGAAAACTTAATCCATACTCTGGATTATACATCATCCCTAGAAAGCTATGGGTTGTTTGATAAACTTCAACTTGTTATTAACTTGATAGGGTTAACTTGTCTTTCAAGTTTACCACAGTTTCAAAGATGTATCATTGAAAGCAACGGGATGAAAGCAGTTCTTCTTCTTGTGAAACGATGCTTAAGTAATGACATTCATGTAGAAAGGCCTAGCTTTGCTCCTCATTTGCATACAAGATTCCATGAAAGGTCCTGTTGCTGTATTTATAAAGAAGATTGGGAAGGTTCCAATGTTCTCTTATTTTATGGCTTGTGGGGCTTAGCTGAATTTCTTCACCAATGTGGCCTTTTACAAGATAATCCTCAGAAATTTACTAGCAAGGTGACATACATTAAAGATCAATTAGTTAGCGAACTTCATGAGATCTGTAGTAGCACCTCTTTCAGTCCTGGAGTGAGATGGTATGTTTCTTATATTCTTAGTTATTTTGGATTTTATGGTTTCCCAAATGAATTAGCCAAAAGGATTGGGAAATCTCTTAATGAGGAAGAATATGCAGACTTGCGACTCATAGCAAATGGGGATTGTGTGAATGTTCATGGTGTTATTCTTGCTGTACGGTGTCCATCATTGCTGCCTCCTGAAGTGTTGCCTAGTAGTAAGAGTTCTAAAGAGGTAGCAGATAAGTTTGTTGGAGGGACTATGAGAGAAGTTCGTTTGTCTGCTCATGTTGATTATGAAGCATTGGTGTTGTTGTTGGAATATATATACTTAGGATGCTTACATGCCGGAGAAGAAATGGTAAAGAAGCTGAAAATTCTTGCTAAGCGCTGCAATCTACAGCCTCTCTTGCAAATGCTTTATAGACAATCTCCAAAGTGGGGTACACCTTTCCCCAGCTCTGATCTTAGTCATCTTACTTCATCTCTTGATTCAGCTGGAAGTTCTTTTTCGTATGGTTTGCTTCTTGATAAGCTTCTTATAGATATCTTTAGATTTCATGTGTATAGTGTAATCTTGTGTTTTCTTTTTTTTCTCTATCTGTTTACATCTTTATTTCCCTTAAAATTCTGTCTGTTAATTCACATATGCTTGATTAGCAGCCTTCAAATTAATATTTTGATAGGTTTATACCGTAGCCTTCGAATTAATATTTTGATAGGTTTATCCCGTGTTTTTCAAATGAAAGTTCTGTTTCTGAAAGGACTATCAAACTTGGAAACAGTTGCTGGGACTGGCTACTAAATGTATTTGTATTATCAAGTTTATAGGAAAACAACTATTAGTTAAATACTTACTGATTGGGGCTTGCTTATTATTCAGATATTTATTGGCTTGTGATTTAGGGATAGTCTACACTATGAATTTGTGATATTGCCAGCATATGTTTAAGGAGTTTGGGAGAGAAATTCTGATTTTGTCAATTTCTCTTTTCAGGGATGTCGTATTGGAAGCTAAAACAAATGAACTTGTTGGGTGGAAATGCAATATTTGTTCTCACTCAGTACCACATTTGCATGTTCACAAAGTTATATTGCAGTCTGGTTGTGATTATTTACGGGGTTTGTTCCGATCAGGAATGCAAGAGAGGTGATTATTGATCTAGAAATTAATAGTTTATGTTGTTTACACTTTTCTTGTATGTCAATGATGAAAATGACACCTAGAGCTTTAAATTAAAAAAAATTCCTATTATTGAAGCTGGAGCTCATAAAAATTGAAGAACATGGTCAAAAGGCAGACATGCATGTGTGTTTATCTCATTCTATGTAACCTGTTCTGTGGTTAAATCCTGATCCCTAGATTTAAATCTTCTCTTCACAAGCATTATGTGTATTCTAATAATGGAGTGTTTGGAAACTCACCACTGATGCATGTTCTTGAGTCTTGAATTGAGATAATTCAATCTAAGAATTGGTTGGAAGTGACTTGGAACCGTGTCCATGGTTGTCATGGTTTGCATTGTGTGTCATATGCATCCCTGTTAACTGCATTTGAACTCTCAAGTTAATCTGGGACATCGTTGAAAATTAGATGCAAGGATTTTCCATTTTTGATGAGAAGCTATCTAGCCTTCTTCTCTTTTTGCTTTAATTTTTGTGGCCCGTTGCATTTTGGTTTGCTTTCTCTGTTCCTCTTTTGGGCCTGTCTTGAATGTTATTCATTATTACAGTCATTCGCAAGTCATAAAGATTGCTATTAGCTGGGAAGCATTGATTAAACTAGTACAGTGGTTTTATTCCAATGAACTGCCAAATCCTCCCTCTGGATGTGTGTGGGATAATATGGATGACGAAGAAAAGCTATTCAATCTGCAACCATATGTGGAGCTTTGTTGGCTTGCTGAGTTCTGGATTTTGGAAAATATTCAGGAAGCCTGCTGGAATGTGGTTATGTCTTGTCTTGATTCTTCCAAGCAGTTGTCCATTAAGATAATCAAAATGGCTTATAATCTCTCTTTGTGGAAGTTGGTTGACATTGCAGCAAATCTCATAGCTTCTTCATATAGTCAATTACGAAATTCTGGCGAACTTGAAGAGTTTGATGATGCGCTAGTTCACTTAATTTATTCTGCTTCTGTTCGACTTACCCAAGAAGGCGAAAATTGCTTTAGGTGATTTAATATTCTTCAAGATGATTCCTAGTGCAGGAGATTCAGGAGCTGTGTAGAAAACCTTTCAGGAGCTGTGTAGAAAACCTTTTAGGAGCTGAACCTTTTACGTCATGTTAGGTATGCTCACATTTCTGTTGGATTATTTGTCTGGGAGATTTCAAGTAGAACCAGAATATAAAGTTTTTGAAAGCAACCCTTGCTATGATTTGATTAGTTTATTGTGATATTTTTCCTTGAAAATAATATTTTCTTAATTATAATATTACTTCTACCGTTTCAACATGAATCCCATTATTGGTTCTTTTCTGCTTTTTCTTTAAAACCTGAAATGCAAAATCTGCTTAATTAGGGACATTAAACACATGCTATATTATATGTGAGTCTTCCTTCCATTGTCTTGACAATATTCGTTTTTTCAGCTTGCACTTTTTTATATCAATACTAGTATGCTGAGATGACAGCTCTATATAATTCCCTTTGCAAATTACTGAAAGGTAAAAGTTTCAATTAATCTCCTGTTAAGGTGAATTGTAGAATGGCAGAATTGCAAAGGGAAGAGACACGGAAGAAGGGAGAGAGAGGAGAGAATGATTGGAAGAACCTGATTGCTTGGTTTTTCCATACAGCCATCGTGGCTTTTATAACAGCAGATTACAAGAACTTGATGTACTGTAAAGGTAATTGCTACTAATATGAACTAATTGATTCCAATGTATTGATACTTGATAGTTTGATACAAATATTTCATTAATGGAAACTTACAAATGTTAAAATACTCATTGGGACCAATTTAATCCTTTATTAATGGAAGATAGAAATTGCTAATTGATACCTATAAAGATGGGCCAGGAGTAAATGCGAAGCCCTTGGTGCGTAAACTGAGATTTTTTTAAATTTTGTAATTCATCAAACTCATAATATTGTAATCATTTTCCTAATCTGTAGAAGTTTCCATGTCAGTTTTTCTGTTAGATATCTTTTTTGGATAAAATATTTTTTGGTAAGGAAAGGAGAGAAGATAAATATGTGGGAGTATAAGAAATTTTCCTCATTAAAAGAAAAAACAAAACAAAACAAAACTGTAAGCCAAAGTAGCTCAAACATGCAACAAAACTTACCAATCTCTTTACATACCATCAATAGAAAAATCCTTGTAGCAACCATCAGCAAAGCACCAAAGCGAGGCATAAACATGATCGTATCCCATGGCGAGTGTAAGGATAAAGAGACACCCCTGATAATACAGTTTTGCTCTAGCTATAGCTGGGGCCAGTAAATCAGTTGGGTGAGAAGATAAAGAGAAAAGTAAGAAGTAGGCAAATGTGGAGATCATAGTTATCAAATGCGAGTAGCGGCGAATCCCGAAAACGCTATAGGGGGTAGTGGTAGAGCAATAGCAGAGTACTTTATGAACCTGTTATATAGATATACCATACATATAAATAAATAAAAATTAGTGTCAATTGAAAATACATTTAGATATACCATACATATAAATGTTAAAAATAAAACCGAAATCATAATCAGATATATTATCATTTCAAATAAGGATGCTGAATAATTTTGTCAATTTAAAGGATCCAAAATAGTGTCAATTGAAAAGATCTAAATAGTGTCAATTACAATATTCCATATTCAAATTCTCAAAAAGAACTAATTAGTATCTTCACTCCCACCATCTCCAAAGTTTGCTTCACTTTCACTATCACTAGTAGAAACATTGTAGAGCTGTTCAGGCACATCTTCAATTTGTTTATCACCACCTTTAGTTTCCATAACTTCCCTTCCTCTAGAGCTTGAAGGCAATGAAGTTGCTTGTCTCCTAGACCTTGTATGTTGCCTAGTGTAAATCAAAGGCACACCAACATCAGTTACAACTACAATATCACCCCATGTCAAGGTTTCATCCTCAAACACAAGCTCATTCTCATGATCTTCCCTATCTCCACCCATGTTTTCCACCAACCATTCATTGTTATCATCAATATCATTCAGGAGAATGGGATCTAGATCACGGTTGTCAAAACAGTGTTGAGAGTCTAGTTATACTTGATTTAAACCAAGTCTTGCAGCTTTCGATGCTCAAGTTTGCTCCGCTTCTTGGAATGAATCTATTTAATAATTTACAACAAAGACTATTAATTTCACAATCAATTATGATTTATGAAACTCTATAAAATAAAACCATTGATCATGTACTTACATGCTAAAAAATACTCCAATTGCGCTCACATCCCAATGAACTACAAGTTATACTCAACACATTAATAGCAAGTTTGTTCCGCTTCTTGGAATGAATCTATTGCAATAAGTTAATAGCATGACTATTTAAATAGGAGTAGGTCCCTGGGACCTTTCGTACTCTTGCCTTTCTTGGCAGCATCAAGACAGACTTCACTTGATGATCTTTTTCCGGTTCGAGGAGTATGGATTTCTTGCACCGCTTCATGCTCATTATCATCTTCATTTAGCTCGACTAGGGATGCATCTTTATCAACCTGCTCCTTCTCATAAGATTCCTTCAATATCTTTCTTATTTTGGGGAGAATTTTCTTACATGCACTACATACTTAACCCAATTTGGTGCCTTTTTGCTCTAGTAATCCCACCTGATGTTGTCTCACCATGGAAATCAAAAGTCACATTCCTCGTTATTAGGATCCTTCAAACTATTCCCCGTGGGTTTCACCAAACCACAAGAAGAAAGAGACTTCGATGATTTGTTGCCGGATCTTGTAGATGTTTGGTCATTGGCTGCTATATTCAAGTTGGCTGAAGTCAAAACCAGTAATAATAAGCAATACTCTCATCAATCTATATCCATCACTCTCAGAGAAAATATGACCCACAACATTCTGAAAATATATCCTAAGGATCACGTACCTAAGAGAGTTAAACCACCATTATCAAGAGCACTGTATCTATGAATGACTATGTCTCACGAAAAGAAAGAAATAAATTTAGATTGACTATGTCTTACCAAAAGAAAGAAATAACCTAAGCAAGCAGCGCAAGGAAACCAGAGATATTAACACGGTAATGCTAACAACTTCATAAAAATAAAAAATAAAAACAGCATCATAAAAAAAAAATTAAACACAAAAAAAAAAAAATTGTTTCTCAATGAAGTGAGTGTAACATTGAGTTAATAATTTTAGGGGTGTTTATAGTTAAAAAAAACTGTGAATTAAAAACCAAAAACAAAAATGAGCGTAACCAAAAACCGAGAGAAAAGAACATAGACACGAGAGAAAAGTCAGAGAACATAGAACAGAACAAAAAAAATATCACCATCACCATAGCTGCTCGTCGTCACAGGTTGCAAAGGGAGTCAGGAAGAAGTCTCACGAAGGGGAAAGGGTGGGTTCAGATACTTTAAGGGTTAAAAGACCAAAAAACCCTTAAAATATGACAGTTATGATTTTAAAACGAGGGAAATATGGAAACTTGTCCGCTTTGATTGTAGTGGCACAATTGCATCGCAATTTGCCATAAAAGTGGCCGCTACCTTGAAGAGACATGTTGCATCGCGTCTTGTAGCGGCGAGAAGCCGCAACACGGTATTGTAGCGCTTTTGTGTCGCAAAAGTGCGCAATTGATTATTGTGGTGGAGAACTGGAGATCACGAGAGGAAAAATGTTCATTTGCATATTGTTTGACAAGCTAAGGGGAGACTATGGTGAGGAACCATTATCAATGGGTTAAACTAGACAGCCATATCAAGTAGGCCTAACACCATATCTCAAACCAAAACCTTAAGGCATAGGATTTATGGGTACTCTCACTTATATGTCTTTACTTAGACCATTATCAACTAATATAGGACTTCATCGCACTTGAATATCCCAACACATGTTTGGAGTAGCGTAAATTTTAGAAAAAAAAATTTCCTTTTTTTCTTTCCAAAAGCTCTCGTAGTAATATTTTGATTATAAGCTATTTTGAACTTAAAATAAGCCAATCCAAACACATGTATGATCTTGTGATTTTATTAATACACGTCTGTCTCATCTATATACTGATTGTAGGCAACTGGTGAAAATTGGACCTCGGGTGAGCCCTACCTGATCAAATATTCATCAGTCAAAGTAAATAAGATGATTTCTTTCTCTAGACGTTAGAGAAAGCTTGTTGCTCTTTTAGGATTTTAATCTTATGTTTGGTCTGTTTTAATTTTTATAATACTATTGTCACCTAGTAATTCCTCATTAACAATTCATAGTAATTAATATCAATTTTCTCCCTTGAACAGCTTTCCTGCTCTTAAAGTGCAGTCGAAGAAATTATGTCACTCGCTGTTCAGCAACCAGGTCAAAGCTTAGTCTTCAGATCTATTTATTTAATTAATCTGTTCCTCCTTCCACCATATAATTTCTTGGTAGGTATTTATATAATTTAGTGGTAGGTATTTTTGAATTCTTGAAACGAATTCTAACCAGTTATTCTTTTTATGTTATTAATATTAGGTATTCTGACTGAATATGATCTGCTTTAAGAAACTTTCTATCCTCTTCTGGCTACAAGTATGTCAGTATCGGTAAGTTCTTCCTTTTGATCAATTTCTCAGCTGGCAGTAATTGGAAACGAGTAATGTAGGCGTTTTCTATTTCATTCATGTATGGGCTGTTATGTGTTTTTTCTTTTTATGGTTTAAAGTCAAATAGTTAGGTTGACATAGAAAAAAGCAAATTATGGCCATGTTGTAAGTAGAAGGAATTGATTCTTTCATGTTAGTTATTTCTTCCTAAAAAATATATTTTTCACTTTCTCTTGCCAAACAGGGACAAGAGAATCTTCAAATGGTCTCCCAAAATAAACTTGATTGATCAGGCCAACAATTACCACTATTGGAATTTGCTTATGCATCAAAATTAATTAGCAAAATCATGGCATGATACAGAATTCTTTGAACGAACATTGTTATTTACCGTAATTCTTTTTACTTCTTTTGGTTTTGCTTGACTAACATGAAGTAAATTTATAATTTTATCCCTCTAAAATGTTACTTGTGTTGATTTGGTCTTCAAAAGTTTCTGTTTATAGACCAATTTGTATAGATGGAAATTATTTAGGGCCAAAGCAATATAGTAATGTCTTCTAGGGACCAAATTGAATATTTACTCGCTCACATGTATTTATCTAACTATACCTGAGTAAATATACAATTTGACCTCTGAAAGACGTTACTTGTTGTGCTTTATTACTCGAAAAGTTTGTCTCACAAATTGGTCCCCGAGGGAATGAACTTGTTAGCATGTAGAGACAGAAACTTTGAGGAACTATGTAAGCACATGTAATGTCTTAGCAGACTCTCTTGCTAAGATAGGGTTAAACTACAAGGGTGAAGAATTATGTTTGTTTGAGTCTCCCCCTGTTAGTTTAGATTTGATATGGAATTCTTTTAGTTTGAATTTGCTGATAGAGCATGTGAATTGTAGCATGCATCAGTTACAGTTGTAGTTCTTGCTGGGCTAGGCCCTCCATTTATATCAAAAAAAAAAAAAAAAATTGTGTATTTACTGAATTATATCATATTTTCATGAGATAGGGAATATATGATGATTTCATATATCATATGTAAGGGTAAAGTTGCGTACAATAAATAAGATTAATCTCATTCCTATCCTTGCTAGTCGGGATTAATGAGGAGTGATTTTATTTTATTTTTAAGAGAATATATGATGATTTGTCCGCGAGGTGTAATAAGGTTTGATTGTTGATGTTGCATATATGATGAGTTAGTTGATTATTACTTTAACAACATGCTTCAGCCTTCAAGGTAGAGACCAGCACACATAAGATCACGGGTGATATGTAAAAGCCACAATGAATTCGATGCCAAAAGATTTATCTTTTCTATGCTATTAAATTTTGATTTATTAGAAATTAAAGAGAATTAAAACATAGAGAAAATGAAAGTAAATATTCTTACATTTATTCCTGTTCATTCTAGTTTCTACTGCCATTGTACTCTCAATTTACGCAAAAATGGTAAGTCAAAAACTGAATTAATTCTTATCAATGCAGTGACTGAAATAAAAAAGAAAAAGAATTTAATTTTAGGCCTTAGTTTCTTATGTTTCAGCTGTCAGTAGTGACAGCCAAATATTTTTCGTAATGAAGATTTTTATTATTATTATTGAATAACCTAACTCTTTTAAGCAAACGTTTCATATGCATTTATTAAATACCATTATTTATCTTTACATGGTATTATCAAAATTAACTCGGTGTTTCTTAGGAGATTTATTTCCATGGTCCGGGACCATGTAGTCCCTTAATATTATAGGAGGGGTAAAATGGGAAATGAACTAAAAGTTAGGGGTAAAATGAGAATTGAGTGTGAGAGGGAGCACAGAACCATCGAATAGTCAAGGACCATAAAATTATTTTCCATTTCTTAGAGCCTATTCGGCCTTGTTTCTTTTTTAGGATAATATTAGTTAAAGTTATAATTAAGAGCATAAAAAATAAAGTCAAACCTGTTTGATGATTGCATGATTTTTGTCTGAAAAATTCTTTAATTTATTTCGTAAATAATTAAAATTATCATATAAGATATATAATGACAAGCCTCTGTATTATAAGAAAATCTCAATAAACAAATATATTTAAAATAAAAGATAAATATCTTTAAAAAAGAGAGAGATTTATTATGTTTAAAATTTTTAAAAATATGTATACTAATTTTTATTTTAAAAATGGATAAATATATGAATAAATATTACATAATTTTCAGCAAATTAGTGTCAATTTCCCATGACTTTTTTCCTATCAACATGCGAGATGCAATAATTGGGACAATCTGCTTCAAGGCAATTTGCAGGCTTGGAGTCTCGCAACGCAATTCACGTCAAAAAGGTATGCTTTGTAAAAATGTATTTGGCTTAACTTAAAAAAAAAAAACCCTGAAACGTCAATCTTTGGGTTTAATATTGATAACTATTATATTTAACTAGAATAAGGCTTCTCAAGAGTATCTCATAATTTTTTTTTTAAAAAAAAATCATGATCAAGCTAAATACCTAATCAAATTCTCGTATGTGTCTACACGTCGATCGAAAACAACAATGGCAACAACTTCCCAAATTATGAGAATTAATTGTATGTCAAATATTATTGATTTGTAATTTACTTTGTAATTGAAAAAAAAAAAAAACCGTTGTTTTGTAAGTTACGCTATGAAGTTTTAAACTTATTTAGTCCTTAAATTATGACTATTTGACCTATAAGTCCTTCTAGACAATTGTCAGTAACCCATTAACAGATTTATAACTTAACACAATCTTAACCTTCTATGTGTACAAAATTCGCACTATATTAAATTATTTATTAGAATCCTTATTTCGTATATTTTGATCTTTAAAAAATTAAATATAATAACAAATTTTGTCTCGAGGTGCGTTACTTCTACCATGAACAGCTTGATGTAGTTCATATCTCATTTGCTTGCGTGGTGGAAAGTGCATGGTCCAATTCCTATCTTTTGTTCTAGAATTATCTTTATTTATTTATTAAGGATCAAAATATATATGAAATAAAAATTTGAATAAATAATTTATAAATTTGCATATTTTATATAAATAAAAAGATTAGAATTGTACTGACAAATAAACAAAAGAACTGATCAATAGAAGGATTTTATGAATATAATATTACATGACACTTCTTGAGTTATGTCATAAACACAAACATTGTGGATCCCTATGCATAAAAAAGAGAAAAAAATTATAATGAGTTCCACATCTTTTGGATTGAGTAGGAAAAAAAAGTTGTATCGTGTATCATGACACTTCTGTTTCCCTTAATGAAATTGTCATAATTTAAAACCAAATAAGAAAAATGTTAAAGTTCATGATGCCAATTTGCAAAATGGACGAAGTTCAAAGTAATTTTATACTATTTATTTCTAATTAGATTTCTAACGGTATTAAAAATGTTAAAACAAGCAAGAATCTGTTGTGATGTTGATGTGACGATGGAGCTTGGCTAAAGAGATAGAAAAGTTGGAAGTCCTATATATATATATATAGGTTAATCATTTTACATCAGTGTAAGTTACACTCTCGATCTTATATGTTGATTCCATTTATATCTAACGGCTCAAATTTTTTTAGGATTGGATATAAATAGATCAATGATTAAGATTGAGTATAAGACTTCTAACTCTTACACTGATGTAAGGATATCCTCCCCCATATAGGGGCAGAATCTTTTGACACCGGTGTCATTTTAAAATTTGACACTAAATCCTATCCGTCGATTTCTGCCAATCAACGGTCATTATTTATTGGGAATTAATACTAATTAATAAGTTTAATTTTTAATAAATGACCGTTGATTGACGAAAATCAACAGATAAGATTTGGTGCCAAATTTTAAAATTTATCATCAATATCAAAGGATCCTGCCTCATATAGGGGCAGAATCTTTTGACATCGGTGTCATATTTTGATATTTGACACCAAATCATATCCGTCAATTTTCGTCAATCAACGGTTATTATTTATTGAAAATTAATACTAATTAATAAGATTTATTGGAATTTGATTTTCAATAAAAGACCGTTGATCGGCAAAAATCAACAGATAGGATTTGATGTCAAATTTCAAAATTAACATCAGTGTCAAAGAATCTTGCCTCGTATGTATATATATATATATATATATATATTGTCGTAATTTCTTTTTTTTCTTTTTTCTTCAGAATTTGTGGGCCCCACAAAATGTTGTGTGTAGAAAAATTTATTGTGTCATGTTAAATGACAAATGCAAATCTCATATATATATATATATATATATATATATATATATATATATATATATATATATATATATATATATATATATAGGAATAATGTCAAGCACCTACTTGTGTTGATTTATGAAGATTGTAAATTAAATCACACTAAATACTTTTTTTTCTACATACACTTTTTTTTTTAAAAAAAAAAACCTCTTTACAAAAAATATTAATTTCATATCACATAAACTCATTTAAAAGAAACTCAAGTCTAGTTCGTGTTAAAAAATAATAATGAATAAGCACAACCTCAATCCAAATAACATGGAAAAAGCCAGTTACATATCTCACTTCATGACAAGCTTGGTGCTTATCTGAACGGGGATGCATACATAAAAACACTACAATGCCTGAGAATAAGATACTTGACTAAATTCAACAAGACTTAAAAAAAAATATACATGATGACTGAACAATTAACTATTTCAATTTTTTTTTTCACTTATTTTATTGTTACTAGGTGAATAGTAGAATGAAACAAAAGAACAAATCAAATTCATATCATTCAGCCTTTGAACATTTCTTTATGTCTTTCTAATTTTCCCTCCTTTTTATATGGAAAGTGTAAACATGATCAAAGAGACCACAAATACATAAAGTATGATATGATATTGAAATAGCAATTCTTTGCTCGAATGTGCTTGAGACATATGCTAGAAAAGACTAACAAGGAAACCAAGAAGATGCCAAACCTGGCACAATACAATTCGGCAACCAAATCCATGAACAACCATAACCGGGTCAACCAAATCCAGAAGTCAACAACAGGGTCAAGAACCAACAATAGCATACTCTGAACTACATTTGCATTAATTTAGTGACTCAATTCCATTTTTGCTCGTGGCTAATAATAGCAAGTGTAAGACAAACCACCTTGGGGACAAGAAAGACCAATATAATCCAATTGACTGAGAAACAGGAGATGATACAAAGTTACAAGTCTCCACCAATGGAATAGGCAGGAGAGAAAAGTAAACCATAACACCATGAAACAAGGTTAACAGAGTTTATTCTAAAGGATGCCAATGCCAACTTGTCGACTAGTTAAATTGGTGCAACCCCACAAATACTAGTTCAATTTGGACATGTGATACCTATAAAAGTGGGTATGGAGTATGGACACAACCAATCCCATGCCTGAATGATAATATAAAAGGAACATGGGAATAAAACTTAAACCTAAACCCGGAAATACTAGCCACTAGAGTGTTCTAGAAACCACAAACGGAGAAACAAAAAGATCCCCTGTCAAAATAAAAAGAAAAGACAAGAGGAACAAATCAAGCCAAGTCTATCATAATACACAATGGGCCTGATTCAAAATTTATCACAATGCTACATGGCATTACTGCAATATAACAGAACATGAAGAGGCTAACACTTCCAAGGTAAACTGCACCTGATACTTCCTCGTCATACTGCTCCAAAGTACTTAGACACACAAGGTTGTCCCTATGAAATTTACTGTCATTCTACTTTGAAAACAGCTCCTCAGATGAACGTCCAATAATTACATAAGCACTGACTCTGAGTTCACATGGTCACCATTACCCCCAGAATTACCATTAAATCCAACTACAGGCATAGAGCGCTGAGCAAAATCCAGTAATACTTTTTTCTGGCGATCATCAGTGTGAGGTAGACTTGCACGTAAGAGCTCAACCGGCATTTCCCTACTAATGGCTCTAGCAGCATCTGACCCAATGACAGCCATATTCGGTGTCCCTTGAATAAGGAATGATTGGATGATAGTATCATATTTATTCACACAATACTTGGTCAGAAGAGCAAAGAATTCATCAAATGAAGCCTGCCAAAGTGAACGGTTTGCAATATTATAGTTGCTAGCAGCATGAGGATCAGTTAGAAGTTCAGTAGCCCTCTCAAGCACAGATACTAAAATAAGGGAAGTCCCATCTCCAGCAGAGCTTCCAAGCGGACGTAGAGGAGGCTGCTCAGAAGAACAAACAATTGCTGCTAGACAAGCACTTAGAGCACCAAGATCCATTTCACGGACGCACTTTGAAACAACCCTTGCAAGGTTATTTACTGTTTCTGCTGCAACTGGGTCAGAGGGAAGGCCACCAAATAAAAATCTTAGATGACGAAAGATGGCCATGCAGACTATTCGCATAAGCTCGCCGCCTGGAAAAAGCAGTTGAAGGTACCTTGCGAGTAGCTTTCGACCCTTGGGTAGAGAAACTATCCTGAGAAAAACAAGGTCATCTTTTGCAGCAAGCCCAACTGTATGTCCACTCTTTTCCAGTGGGTCAACTAATTGAAGTGAGGCTGCAAGTCCTTCCAAAAGACCTTGACGTTTTCGTTTTAACTGAATTCCAGCATCTTGAAGCTGATTAAACTGTAGGAAACGGTCAATATCATCTACATCTAGAAGAAGGCAAAGACCATCCTCAATTGTGACCCTTGCTGCAAGCATTGGCTCCTGTTCAAGGGGCTTCTGTGAAATGTTTTGCTCGGTGCTAACAGCAGGAGAGGAATTTGGAGGATCAACCTCCAATAGAGGACGGGGCCTGCGAATTGATGAAAATGGAACCCTCCCTAGAGCATCAACCTGAAGAAAAGCATGTGGTTCAGTATTAGCAGAGGCTCGTAGAGGGAGTTCCCTTATTTGATTTGGACAAAAATGATGCCTCAATTTAGCACCTGAAGATTTTTTCGCAAGACAGGCTTGGTGGTAATAATCATCTACATATGGATCATTACTATGCGTTGCGGCAAGCTGCATTCTAAGAATATTCTCAATTTCCTCAGTCATCATATACTTAGACCTAAATCGTGGCCATCCACTATAGCTTTTCTGGCCACTCATATCAAAACCCTGAGGGGGGAACCGGAAATTCTGCCTGCCTATTTGAACTGATTTTGGCATTTGATCCCTCAGTTCCATCAGCCCAAGCATCTGGTCATATTTGTTAATCATGGGTAAACCTGAGGAAATATTGGGAAAATCTCCAGGATATAAACCTACCTGGTTGACCAATTGATTCTGCATTCGCTGATTAAGAGGGGAACCAGTAGGAAATTGGCGCATGTTTCCACCAAAAGGTGACCCATGGTTTAATCCACTCAACTGTAGAGCAGAATTGGAGAAATGAGAACGATTTTGTGACAATAGTGCCATCTGAGCTCCTCCAGCATGATAAGGAATGTTCAAGTGACCTGTACCATGACTTGGAGAAGCCTGTTGAGATCTACCACCAGGGGGAGGATAAGAAGTAAACGAAGAATTTGGTACCAAAATTGGTTCACTAGAAAAATGAGGAAACTCCTGTTGCTTGTCAGGATATAAAGATGTTCTGTACAACGGCTTTGATTCTTGTAAGTGTGCGATGGACAAATGTGGCTGTGACGACCATCGCTTACCATCCTGAGTAGTTTCAGTATCATAAAAATGCTGATCAAACCAGTTAGGAACTGATTCATTAGAGCTATGTTGGAGGTGATGTTGCTGCTGCCTTTGCTGCTCAGGATATGAAGATGTTCTGTACAAGGGCTTTGATTCATGTAAATGGGCAAGAGCAGAATGAGGCTGTGATGTCAGTCTTCTGCCATCCAGAGAACCTTCACTATCATAAGCACTCTGGTCAAACCAGTTAAGAACATCATCCCTGTGTGGCCATTCAGACGTAGAATCTGGATAAAGTATAAGATTGTAAGTAATTCAGTCAAGTGAAAAAAGAATGCAAAGGGAAATAAGGAAGCAATAGTGGATACACACACACACACACACAAAATTCAACCATCTGAAAGATGATGGTACTAAAAGGGATTTTGCAATATGATTTTACAAAAACAGGAAGGAGGAACAGATAGTATGGTCAGAACTAAAAGGTTTGGTTTTGCAGCAGTTTGAAGATCTTTTACAAGGCCATCCTAGTATAAAGGAAGGATATCTATTTCAAAGGTTAATTATTAAATAAATAAAAATAATGCTGAAAAGTGACATTATTTTGTTGTGATAAAAGAAAAGGAAAATTGGTGAATTCTTTACAATTGCTTTACTCACTTTCTCTTGATCCCTGTTCACCAATAACTCCTGTGCCTCTTGGTTCACTCACAACCTTGTTTAACTAAAATTAAACAAAAAACAAAAAGAAGCTTAATCTTCATATCAGTATACGTAAAGCAAAACATATGATCATTCATAGAGATGAGCATTATGGTAAAAACAATAACAGAATCTGAATCATAAAATTGAGGTAACACAAAAAAAAAAAGGATCAAAGAACAGATAGAACTTGTATTTTAGTTGAGGACAAAAAATCCAAATAAGCTTGAAAGGCAAAAGGAACCATGCAAATCAAGTAACCTTCTATTTAACTAAGTCTTCCACTTTTCCTTCTGTTACTTTCTTTTTCTTTTTATGAATGAGATAATGGATACATAGTCAAAATTAATGGACTAACCAACCATAGGAGATAAGCCGCCAGCAAGGCTATAGAAAAGGAAACATGAAAAAAAAAAAAAAACTAGCATGCAGCAATGAGTAAATTGGTATTAACAAGCTCCACTAATGGGGCATCAGACATACATTTTACCAAAAATATTCAGAAACTAAGTCCCAAATGTTTATGTGGTTGCATACCGTAATTTCCCCCCACATTTCTCAATAACCAGCAATACGATTGACCTCCTTGGTCCATACTAACTCCAAATCAAAACACAGGTAAGCCACATTTTTATTCCATACAAAAAATAATTTTGCGCACACAACATGCCATGGAATTTTTGTCTATACATCCTGCTCAGACTAAGAAAACTTATCAAGGGAAGGAAACCTTAATAACCTGCCAACATTTTGCAAAGAATCTAGAGAGATTGAAGTTGCATGATGGACACTGTAATTCAAAAAAATGACAAGGGATTTGGATTTAACAACACAAGGCATGCTGCATCACCTGAAAATGGTCGTAGATTGTATATGTACTATTAATGTCTTTTGTTTAGTCAAGGTATCGACCGTATTGTCATTATTCAAATTTTGGATTTGGTCTTAAAAGAAGCAGCTAATCTCAAGTCAAGGACACTTCTATCATATGATATGCTTGTGGAAGAACACAAACTACAAAATGTGGCTACTTTAGTATAAGAAAATAACCTAGAAACTACAATTCTCACTTGTCGAACTTCTAGTGTCTAGCATAATAGCCAGGCCAACAAGCATAGAATCCCTAAAATGGGATAGCATATAATTTGGAATATATATTATCTCCTGCAACCCCAAAACTACGTCAAATTGAGGGTTGGGAGAAGTAATGAAGAGTGTTTTGGTAATTTTATTTTTTATATTATATGAATTTTACCAAAACACTCTTCAGTAATTCCACCAACCCTCAAAACAACGTAGTTTTGGGGTTGCAGGAGATAACTTTATCTCCTGTGACAGGAGAAACAATAAACCCATATATATATATATATATATATATATATATATATATATATATATATATATATCACGCACATGCAAGAGATCAAGCTTCTTACTTGATAACTTGAGCTAATTTAAAAGCTGTGATTCTCTCTTAGTTAACAATGTTTCTGACCAACATACATGAGAATATTAAGAGACTGCACCAAACCAATTTCTTGTTTTAACTCTTTGTTATGGGAACATTGAGAATTTTTTTAATGAAAACAAATATAACTGAACAATAAGGGAAACCACAGGTTCAGATATATCAATGACTGCCGAATATTCACTTTTTACCTTTCTCTAACACGTGCCTTAATTCATATATTTGAATCCTTACAGGGTTACATCATTCATATCACAGAAATGTATATTTTTTTATAAAATATAAATTTAAACATGGTAGTCAAAATCGCGTTTCAGATAGTAGGACCATACGAATTTGCGATCTTGTCATCCATGATCGATCCGAAACAGTTGCTAGATCGGAAGGTAGTGGGATCACGTAGGATCGCCGGGGAAGATTGCTAAAACAATGGGATTGCGTGTTACACGATCTGGAAAAAAAAACCCACCCAAAATGGGTTATGTGGATGATGAAGATGAAGTATTGAAAAAATCCATCCACATGTATAAATCAAGAGCAAGAAAACATAACAGAAACTGCAAAAGATGCAGGAGTTATGTGGCCGAAGAAGATGAAGTGGCATAGAAGATGAAGAAGCATCAAAGAAGATGAAGTGGCGGCATTGAAAGTTGAATCTGTTTAAGAAAAGTGACTTAGGGTTATTTGATGTTGAGGGGCAGCAAATGGGCCAGCCCAATTTCAAATTGGGTTCTTATTATTTTGGGCCTTATACATCACATCTTAAGTGAATAATCCTAAGCCTTAGAATTAGGCATACCTGAGAAGCTTTGGAAACAAACCAAGTTGAAAGTATAAAAGAAAAATAGAGGAGAAATAACTTTAATTAAATTATTTATTATAATTAAAACTAAGAAGGTAAGATCTTTACGATCTGTGTCGATCCCGCGATTTATGATCTTGCCACCCTCTTCCGATCTTAGGTAAGATCTTGATTTTGACTACCTTGAGTTTAAATACACATTTTATCTATTTTTAAATGAATGCATGCAAATTCAGATATTATCATCATCGCAATCCTCAGTCACATATCTAATAAAAATCTCAAGACTCAAGCATTCAAAGAGAACAAGATATATCAAAGTTTAACAGCCTTACATTCCAAAAAGTGGTACTGAGATCATCAATATCGGAAAGAGATCTTACATCCTCAGCCTGCAAAAAAATCTAGCATCATATCAGTAAAATTTAGATGGCTGGTAAAAGTAAATATCCATTGGTTTTTTTTTTCGGGTGAGGGGCATAAGATCAACATGTTTATATTTCAAAAAAATCTAGACACTGGAAAGTTGAAATTAAGAAAATGTGGTAAAAATATTGAAAATTAACCTCTTCTTTATTGAGAAAGAACTCCTCCTCATTAGACTCGGAAGCAGGCAAATAGTCATCATCTTCTAACCCTCCCAACTCAACTTCTTGGACAGAATCTTTACCAAAAAATGCATATTGTGATGCATCAAAAACTGCACCTCCTGCAAGAAAACTAAAATTCAGTCAAAGACCTCCCACCAATTTCTTAGAACTATTTAGCATGACAAGTAAAAGTTTCAATGTTGCAGATAGAAGAGAATTCCCAGGTGACTGAGCCACCAAAACAAAACTACAATTAGATAAGCTCACCACTGAGAAAAACAAAATATCTATTTCAACATGTAAAGCTAATAATCATTTAGATTTTAAAAAGTATGCAAACATAATTGGAAGTGCAACAAGTCGTTAACTCCAAAAACAGAGAAGATATTAATGCAAACAGTATTCTATAACAAAGCATTTATATTAGGAGAAACTGCTTTTAACTCAGCGCTAAGTGGATGGGCCTTGTGGCAAATTAAACTGTCCTGAATCAACAACCAGAATAAAGCAGAAAGAGAGACAGAACCATTATGCAGTCAAGAGCAACGCTATGGTCATTGACTAAATCAGCCAACAACAGCATATACCCAAAGATGACAACAAAACTTCACAAAAAATTCCAATTCAGATGGAATAATCAACAGGGTAAACATTCTAATATCTGCAAAACTCTCAACTATAGCTGAAGCTTTTGGTTCAGCTACTCTGCAAAATCTTACCACCTGAAGCTTAAACAGTTGCTGTGAACTGAAGATAACAAACAAATAAACAAATTGAAATGCAAAACTAACCATTCGATACTGAATCTAGGATCAATTTTCCTATAATTCAAATTAAAATTACTTGCTACAACAAACAAGATCTACATGAACAAGCTGAATCAAAGAACACTTTAACGAATAAAAGGGTTTTCAAAAAAACAGAATTCAATCGAAGAAGGTGAAGCAAACCTGAGGGAATATCCCCCAATTGCCTAAGATCCTTTGTGTTGGGAGCTCCACCAATATCACCATCCATATCCACCAAAAAACAAAGGCAAATGAAAAACCCAGAAAAAGAAAAACGCAAAAGATCAAAGATTCAAAGAGAATAGAGAACCCAATGCGAAAAATTTGAAACTCGAAACGCTATTTTTATTTTCTGTGTGTTTCAGCTAAAACAATAAAAACGAAACGAAAGGGGAACAAGAAGAAGAAAATATGTGTCAATAATTGAGTACATAGAAAGAAAAAAAAAAAGGGTTCGGTTTCGATCAAAGCCAGAGAGAAGAGAGAGAAAGATAAGTAAGAGACCAAAGGAAACCCTAAGAACCCTAAAACGGGAACGAGAATATACCACAAATCGATAATTCTAGATGTAGATATGAAAATTTTAAACAGCAGTTTACCACACTTTTAAATTTCAAATAAAAAAAAAAAGGACAGAATTAATATATTGTAATTGATTGGGTTATTTATTTTTATTTTTTTGGTACATACAGATTGAGTGATTGGGTTATTTTTATTAATAAATATTATACATAATTTTAGTTGTTGATTTTCATTCATTAAATGATTATAATTAATTGAGATATTCTCGTTAATTAATTAGTAACGATTAAAATTGATATATATATATATATATATATAGAATGATATTGTAACAACCAAGTTTGTTACACTGTTACTACTAAGTTAATACCAATCAATCTCACTGTTAGATCAATTATGTTGATCCAACGGTTATATTTATTTCTATCATTGTATGGTCATAATTTTTCAAATTTAATACTTTATATTTATTTCTACCTTTGTATGGTTATGATTTTCTATATTGAATGCTTTCACTTTAAATATGGAGAATCATAATCATACAAAGATAGAAATAAATATAATCGTTGGATCAACATAATCGATCTAACGGTAAGATTGATTAGTAATAACATAGTAGTAACACAACTTGGTTGTTACAATATTCTTCTTCTATATATATATATATATATATATATATATATATAGGGTTCGTTTTTTCTAATGTTACTTTAGATAACTTTATATAATGTTCGCTGAAACGACGTCGTTTTGGGGCGGAAATCATGGTGTATTTGTAATTTTAATTTGTTTCAGGGTTATAATAGTATTTATCATTCTAATTTTTTTAATTTTTCAACATCAAAACGACGTCGTTTTGGTGAACATTAGACAGAATTGTCTAAAGTAACATTAGATACTTTTTTCCATATATATATATATATGAGTCAGGATCATTTTACACCAGGATCATTTTACTCCTATATATATATATATATATATATATATATATATATATATATATATAGATTGAAAAATCACTATTGCTACAGTACAAGTTACATGACCGGTACTGTTTGAACAGTGTAGGTTAAGTGAACAGTAACTGACTCGTGATGCTACAGTTTCTGCCGACACTTTGATTACGTCACTGTATGCGTCACCTTATGCTGACATCATGCTCATGTCATTTTGTCAACAGCGTTACTACAGTGGTTTTCTTCAACAGTCTTCTGCTAAGTTGATTCCAAAACAATCATCCTCATTTTGGTAGAAGTCTTCGGTTGAAGAAGAGATAGAAGGAGATGAAGAACCTGTCTTCTGTTTAGAACTCTCAGTTTCTTCTTGGAGTAATTGAAGAATACCTTGCAAATTCTTTGCAAAATTTTCTTTGCTGGTTGATGCTGCTAATGCTGCTGTGATCTTTCCCCACTGGTATCAGAGCCTGATGGGGAAGTAGGAATATATGGATAGATCTAAATTATCTGTTATTTATCTGAGCTTTATGTTAACATTTTAACATGTGTTAGAAGCATGTATGATTGTAGGATGAGAAATGAAAGTCTTGAGAACTTGTTCAGCTGTTGCAGTAAGTCCCATATGAAGGGCAGTAAGTCAAATTTGCCGATGTTGAACAAAGGATCAAGAAGATCTCTGACAATCTGTTGTTTATTTACGTTAAAATCTTAATCTAATGCTCAGTTGATAAAAGTTAATTTACATCTATCTCTGTATTACTATGGATCCAAATGATGGTTCAGATATCTGGGAAATACATCTGTTTTATTATCATGTTTAAATCTTTTTCTTCTAAGCTCTCTTTCAAATCATCTCAGCCATCTTCTTCTTCCATCCATAAAAATCAAGTTAAAAATCATACAAAAAATATTTTTAAAGAAGAAATCTCCTTTGAAGATATCAATCAAGATCTGGATAACTGGGAAATTCCCAGAATTCCAACTAATGAACTATACAAACCCGAAGGAAACTTCTTTCGGAAATCTGACTATATCATCAGAACAGTTGAAAGAAATATCCCTTTAAATAAGGAATTTGAAGAATTTCAACTACTTTCAAAATCGTCTATACAAACTCATAAACAAAGTTATAACTATCTGCACATCGGATGTGTCCAAGTGGCTATTAAACCTCTTGGAATTGAAGGTCTAAATGCTTCTGTTCTTCTATGCCTTCGTGATACAAGGCATAACAAATTTACAGATTCTATACTTGGAACTGTTGAAACAAGCCTAAGCAATGGACCAATCTTTTTCAATTGTTATCCTGATCGTATGGTTAGTCTTCAAGATAAAAATATCTTGGATGTCTTAACTTTGAACATTGAGACAAGTGGTCTGGACATGAAATCCGGATCTATTCCAGCAGCTTTGCTTTTTAGGATTCAATATAAAGTATTGAATTCTTCCATCTCTAGGGTTCTTAAACCCAAGAAAACTGGGGAAACTACTTTGTTCCTTACTGACATGTCTAGAGCAAATGTCACTGTTCCCAAAACCATCCGTTGGACTGACATAGTCCTACCAGATAAATGGAGGCTTGAGAAGGCAACACCTGCTCAACCTAGAGATACTCCAAACTTTAGAGAAATCAAGCAGTTCCCAAGTGGTGCTGTTGAAATAATCTTCGATAGAAGAAACTCTTTCAGTTCTGCAAGTTCTTCCAGGTCTGTTCAAACTCAAGATTTTCGTTCTGAAGATTTTCAATCTGCTCTTTCAAGGAGATCTTTCTCTACAATCTCTGAACCTAGTAGGTTCAATCTCCATCTCCAAGGTTTGGACACTTCTTCTTCTATTCCTAAACCTTCATATACCCAAAAAGAAGAAGAAAATGAACAAAGTATCATCCAATCCCCAAAATCTATTCAATCTCCAACCTATTCCTCTATGCATAATTCTTATGATGTTATATAAGTTCATTATAGATAAGGAAACCCTTAGGAAAGACTTTAATTCTGAGGAACGGTCTCCTCAAAAAGAATGGTTCTTCCAAAATTATAAGGGAATTAAAAGACAACTAATTCAAGAAGAATTTTATAACTTTCTTGACAAGGTAGAGTTAAATATTCCTTTCTTTGATTGGTTTCAAGCTTATTCTGTCCAACAGGACATTGATTATCCATTCAAGATTCCTCAATCTGCTAATGTCATCACGGATTGGCACCTGAAAGAAGGAGAGATTATCAAGTCTGAATTTCCTCCCACAACTTCTTTCTATCTCCCAAAAGTTTGTGATAACAAAAGTAGGTCTGTTCTTGCTTCACCTTTTAAATTAAAAGATGAAAATGAACAAGTCTCTCCAATGGATTTTAAAAATCTTATTGAGCAATCTAATTACACCAACAAATATCTTCAAGTTTTGGGTGAAAAACTTATCAAAACTATTGAACCTTCATCCTCTGCATCTTCTTCTAAAAACTTAGAAAAACCTTTGTTCAAACCTTTCAAAATGAATGATCAACTTAGAAAAGAGTTTGCAAAGTTAAAACCTGCTCAATCTCAGTCTCAGGATGAATTTCTTAAAAAAATTGATGAGAAGTTAAGTACATTAACCATTCCTGATACCCCACAACATTCTGATCAAGAGACTCAACAGTCTCATAAACATAACACTCGGTCAAAAACTATCAATACTCTGAATCATTATGATGAATCTCCTGAGTCAGATAACAAATCTGATATTAAAATTAATCCTATAACTGGTATTAATAATTGGAGAAACCCTTCCAAACTTTATTACCAAAAAGCAACTGCTCCTGATCTTCTACTTGAAGAAAAGAATACAAGTTTCAAAAGTTTTAATGGTAACAACGTCTATGAATGGAACATAGATGGTCAATCAGAGTATAACATACTCAATATAATGCACCATATGACTATGGTTGCAACTGCCTATCAAACTTCTCATAATTGTTCTGAAGCAATTATAGTCAATATTATTGTCTCTGGCTTCTCTGGTCAACTCAAAGGTTGGTGGGATAATTATCTTTCTGAAGATGAAAAAAATTCTGTTCTTAATGCCATTAAAGTTGATCCTGATGGCATTCCTATAGTCTCTGATGGAAAAACTATTCCAGATGCTGTTAATCAATTAATCTTCACCATTATCCAACATTTCATTGGTGATCCATCCTTATGGAAAGATCGTTCTGCTGAACTCCTATCCAATCTTAAATGTAGAACCTTAGGTGACTTTCGCTGGTATAAAGATACCTTCTTAACTAGGGTTTACACTCGAGATGATAGTCAACAACCTTTCTGGAAAGAAAAATTCTTAGCTGGTCTTCCAAAATCTTTAGGAGACAAAGTTAGGGATAAAATCCGTCATCAATCTCTAACTGGAGATATCCCTTATGAGCAATTAAGTTATGGACAATTAGTTGCTTATATCCAAAAGGTAGCTTTAAAAATCTGTCAAGATGATAAAATCCAACGTCAACTTGCAAAAGAAAAAACTCAAAATCGTAAAGATCTAGGATCATTTTGTGAACAATTTGGTCTGCCTTGTACTACAAAACCTAAAAAACATAAAAAACAGGAACAAAAACAGGTTAAAACTTTTAGGAATTTTCGTAAGAAACCCAATTACAATAAAAGGTTTAAAAATGAAAATCCTAAGCCAAATACTGAAACAAATAAATCACAAAATACATCCAAACCAATTAAGCCAACTATTTGCTACAGCTGTGGTAAACCTGGACATATTAGTAAATATTGTAGGCTTAAGAAAAAACTAAATAACCTAAACCTTGATCCTTCTATTGAAGAACAAATCAATAATCTTCTAATCCAGTCCTCGGATGAAGAATCTGGAAAAGAATCCTCAGAAGATTTAAACCAAATTCATGAAGATGATCTATCTTCTAGTGAGGACTCACAATCCTCGCAAGAAATTAATGTCTTGACTAAAGAACAAGATCTTCTGTTCGAGGTCATAGATTCTATCAGTGATCCCCATGAAAAGAAAGCTTACTTAGCAAAATTAAAATCATCCTTGGAAACCAGTTCTTCTAAATCTAAAGAGTTGTTG